GCTATTACGAGGAAGGAGACTTGGTCGATTACCATCGCCCCGCGACCACCAAGGATGACTGGGGAGGCTGGAATGGCCCGTTCCCAGCTGTAAAGAATTATTCCGAAAAGGGGTCAGTTCATCATCCGAGTGGGCACTCGAGATGTTCAAGTACAATACGGCGATGCAAGGCATTCGTTATACATTGAAGCATTAATAGCCCGAGAGATTGGCTCCGACAGCACTGCACTACGCACAGTGTTAACATTCGTAGCCAGCCCATCAGCGGGGAGACCTTCTTTGATATTTGGCTATGTGCCGACCAAGAAAGGGACGCTTCAGATGACGACCGCAAGCCGTCTATCTCCCAAGGTACACTTGGCACTACAGTACCTTATCAGAGACTTCTCTCGTATTGAGAATGTAGTTTCAGTCAGGTCAACTAAGGGTACTCATGAGCTGCCTCCGGTCACTTATGCCGACAGCTGCACATTGATCCACTACGACAACGACGTGAGTCCAGGAGGCCACTATTACGAATCAGAAGGTATTGCTCTGAATATACACGATATAACAGGATCAGCACAGTCGTGAAGTATTTAACGCCTGAGGTCCACCAAACCTCAAGCAGGTTTTGATCAGGACATGTCAGAGTTTGAGGAATTCGCAGACACATCGACACCGGAGGGAAACGCAAGAGAAGCCTCATAAGCCGAACCATCACATTGGGATGGGCGGCTTTCTACGATTTACGAAGAATCAGAGGCTGATCTTTAGTCGCACGTTATGGAGGTGTGGCATGCAGAACTACAAGACGAAAGGGAACTGTTGGAGGCGACTCCACCAGAGGACCTCTTGTAATCAAAGGTGTAATGATTTGTGTAGCTGATGACCAGCGGGGGCACCTGCCGCAGTGGGGGCGCACTCACGACTCCGATGCCGAGGAGACGTACTACGTCCCAATGTGCACCATGGTCTAAGACGACAACTACCGGACTGGACTCAGATGAGAATGGTCGATCTGGCAAAATATGCTTTACGACAGAAGTGTCGAATGTAGTCTTGTCCGAGCAACAACATATGATACTAGGTGCCGACCAGGTGACCACTATGCGAGTATGCGTAACCGCCGCTGCAAAGCGAGCCGTGGTCGTCAAGGAAGACGACCTCCTCGCTAAAGCTGGCATCCAGGCGAATCCCGATGGAGTATGGAAGGCCCTCTACACTGAACTCAAGACATGGTTCGATAACGAATGCTTTAAGATGCAAGATATAGCTAAAGCGTCGAACATCATGACTTCGAGACAGTGTACAAATGGAAGTTCGTGAAGAACGAGAAGGGCGATATGGAACGCACCATCCGACTACCCGTGGTTCTCCGAGATCTCATGGACCTTGAAGCCTTCGACGAAGAAACATGTCCGGGAACAGCGAGACGGCCGAGCCAGAGGTTACTCGCTAGCACGGCAGCGTGCAATAAGCAGTGGATTAGTTTCCCTCGACATCAACATGGCCTTCCTGAAGGGACTGGCCTATCAGGAACTTGTTGAGGCTACCGGTGAAAAAGGAACATGTGGTGTGTTTTACTTTGCCGCCTGGATCGGCCACCGTGCTCCGAATTCTTCCAGGGGTCGAGCACTATGACGAGTCGAAGCACTGCCTACAGTGTTTGAAACCAGGCACAGGCACCAAAGACGCTCCACGGGCTTCCTCACTTAAGCTCAGGAAGACCACCAGAGGCTTCGGTCTCCGACCCACGTCCTACGACGAGGAGTTCGAGACAAGCAACAACTTGCTCTCGGCCAAGCATGTTGATGACAGATGGCCAGTACGGAGGACACTATTGACAAGTCTGTCGAATGCGTTGAAGAGACCTTGGGTAAGTGTTAACTCAACAAGCACACATGCACCAACTGTGCTGTGAGATACACCAAGGATGAGGACGGCAATGTCACTTTGGACCAAGATGAATAGATCAAACAGCTCCGTCCCATACAGCATTCCGAATTGACCGGCGCCGACGCTGACGCTCAGGCATCCAATGCGTCAGCCTCAGGGCTGCGCTGGCGTATGAATTAATCACCCAGGTGTGGTTAATGGTGTATGTTGTATCTCTACAACGTGTCCAAGAACCGACCAACGTTCAAGTGCGACGACTGAACGCCATCGCCAGGAAGTTACAGGCCTGCCCGAAGAAGATAGTCTACCAGGCGATGAGTCCTACGGGCGAGGTCGACCTGCATAGCGACTCAGGATATCGACGCCTGAGTGGAGACGCCGATGACGACGTCGAAGGCTACGGTATTCGCGGGGCAAACCTGCTGCGACGTGGAAAACGTCATCCGGTAAGCCTTTCGTTCACTTGATCGATGCGTACTGCAAGTCTCACCGCTTGCAGGCTCGCTCGAGCTATTCAGCAGAGACACTAGCAGCATCCCATAATTTGGAGGACTGTTATCCCGTGATTGTGACTCTGCATGAGCTCCACGCAGGGCCGCTCGCGCCCACTCAGTTGAAAGATGTACTGGAGTTGGGTGGCCTGGGCATCAAGGTCACCTTGACCATCGATGCTGAGTCTGTTTTTAAAGTCCGTTTCAAGCAAGGACGTGAAGGAGCCGACTGAATGCACTCTTTTAAGACGCATCAGTTGCATACGACAGATGATGGAGCGTGGAACCGTGCACAGCATCCAGTGGTGCGACACCCGCGATATGATTGCGGATGGCCACACCAAGGGGAGCATTGACAGAGACATGCTCCTACAAGTCATGGGAGGTATACAGACCTTCAAACATGACCTGAAGAGACATACTCCATATAGGGCCGGCCAGACATCAAGTTCTGACGTCGCCTGATGATTACGTCGCGTACAGAACTGTACAAGCGAGGCAACTTACGAGCGGGTCCACCTTCCTTTTGACCCGCTTCCTCTTCTGTCCTTGTGTATGTTAGCTGCTGTGCTTGCTGTGTAGGGGCGACGGGCTCACGCTTCGTCTCCCCCCCCGACTCCTAAAGCGAGCTGTGGGGCGTGAAGAGTGGAAGCGAGCGTGCGCCCGCGGCCGCGTCGGCTCAATCGGCCGGCCGCCCAAATATGATTGTGCCTCGTTGCGAGGCGCACAAACGCTATCGAGACCAAAAGGATCTTCCTACTGCTTGAGATGGCACATCCTCTCATATTGGGACTATCGTTAGTAGGGTACAACAGAGCGGGAGCTTGGCTTCGTCTGAGGCGAAGCTGTTGGCTGGGCCTACCAACCCCCTTCAAACTGGGGGATGGGGAACGGGGGAGGGGGACAGCCAAATGTGTCACACGCCCTTTCACCCCCTGCGAGCGGGGGTTGGCGGAGTTTATGGTGCGAGCGCTTTTGCTGGGTTCCAGGCCGCGAGCGAGGCTGGCGACCCAACATCCGAACGGCCAAGGTGCTTGCAGAGACCTCGCGCCGTCGGGCGCCAAACACATGATATCGAAGTAAGCGACGAAGTAAGCGAAACATGGGAACCCATGGGGTTGGGTAGCCTCCGCAGGGTAGCATCACAGAGTGGCCGCGATGAAGGCGCATGGGACCGTCATTGGCAGTTCACCTGTCGAGTTAGCAACACAGGGACGATCAAAAAACGCATCCGCTCGGCAGGGTGCAAAATAGCACGCTGCTGCTGCGGAGGAGGATGACCAGAGTAAACCCAATATGCATCAACGATACTGCCAAACACCCTTTTTTGCACTGCTTCAGGGGAGCGTCTGGAACCAGAGATGCATCAAGGAAAAGTCACATATAATGATTTGGCGACACATGCGTGTGATAATGTGCCACCTGTAGCCACAACGCCTTGGCATAACCTGTCAAAGAGGCGCCTATGAGTTTTCACTGCAATAGAGGCCCCCTTTTGGAACAAAAACAGCACGTAGTGGGCCTGACATTCAGGGGAGCGCATCGTTTTGAAACGGAACTGCCTGGCACCCTTCTAGCACTCAAGAAAGATTGCGAGAAGGGACGAATACACTGTTCAACGAGGTGGCCAGCGATATCCCCGTTTTCAGTTTGGAGGCCCGCTATCCGCGTAACCTGTTCACAAATTTGTTTTTTTGGCCATGGGCTTCGAGGGAGTCTCACGGGAAACCACCATTTTGAGAAGGAGCCGCCCTCCATTCGTGCAGCCGTTGCATATGTTCGGGGTTCAGGCCTTTACACTTGAACAAGTCTCGAGCGAGGGGCCCCATGTTGCGAAGAAGACGCCCCCCATCCCTGCAATTGTTGGCAAGCTTTGGAGGCGATTGTGCGCGGCGTTCAGGCGATAACCTAATGTTTGAAAACGTGGCGACCTACGTCCGTGTAGCTCTTCCATTTTTTTTAGCTTCAGGTTCACAGGGGGTGAGGAGGTCTCATGCTAAACGCCCAGCCCGACCGACCAACACGTCCGAAGGTGCGACAGGGAGGAGTTATCTGTAAGGAAGAGGGATGGAGGAGCAGGAGGGGGAGGAGGCGGAGGACCCTTTCTCCCCCTCCTTCTCTCTTTCCTCTGTCCCCTCATGGTGGGAGGGCGGCGGCAGTCTGTCGCTGTGGGCTCTTGTGGGCCGCTCTCTTTCCCTCGGCGTCCCCCTTTCCGCTGATCCCACAGGTTGTGCACCAGGAGCAGTGTAACATGGACAAGAACAACGCCGAGGCCAGATCGCGCTGCGCGTCAGCCGACACTACGTGTGAGGTGTGTTTGTTTGTTTGTGTTTGTGTGTGTGTGTGTGTGTGAGTTCGCAAAGGCGTGGTCCCCCGAGGGACCTGTCTCGGCTGGGGCGCCTGGCTTGCCTGTCTTGGGATTGGCGCCCGTTGGACCAGCCGACGAGGCGGAGGACGGCCCCACTCTCGTGCCGCGCTCCACCTCGGACCCTCCCCTGCATTGGGCCTCGCCCCCGCGTCTGCACGGGTGGCGCTCCTGCACAGTACCGTCCTCCTTGTTTCTCTTGTCTGACCGCTGCCTCCGTGTGCTCGTGCTGTGTGTCCGTAGCCATTTTGGCTCAAGTCCGGAGTGCTGTGCTCAAGGGCCTGAACTTTTGTTGCGGCGAGGGGGATTTCTGCGGCCCCCCAGAGCGTAGGTTGGCATAACCAGCCAAGACACATCTTCCCCCTATCGCTCTGCCAGTCGCTCTTCCGAGACCGTACTGGGGTTCCCCCGTTTTTTTGTCCGTTTTTCTTGTCGATGGCGCAGGATGGTTTCTCGAGGGCCCCGTGGGTTCGACAGAACGGTGCTGGCGGCCCGGGCAAGGGCGGTGGCGGCGTCGGAAACGCTAGGAATCATACTTTCCATCACAAGAAGGGTGAGGTACTCTCGGGATCTCCCTGGCTCTGCAACGTTTGCGGATGCGGGAAGAACCTCATCTCCTCGCCATACTGCAAGCACTGCTCCGCGCCATGGAGTGGTGAGGTGCTTCCTGCTCATCCTCGCCCTGCTGGCGCTTGGGCTGGCGGTGTGCCTCCCCGCATTCGCTCACCTCTCCCCGTCGGAGCTGTCTACGGCAAGGGCGGGGCGGGAGGCTGGGAGGCACATGGCATGTGGCGAGGATGGCAGCACCAGCCAGCTCCAGTGCAGCCAGGCTCGTGGTCTCGCGTCCCAGGGCCACAGGGCAACGGAGCAGGTGGCGGCTAGCAGTCTCGTTTGAATAGCTTCAGCGTTGACGAGCTCGAGACGTTCCTCAGGATACATGAAATCTGGGCAGCATTGAGGAGGTGGGAAAGTGCAAGGCGCAGTTGGCTGCTTTCCGCCTGCCTTCTCAGCAGCATCTCTCGCTTGAGGAGCAGCTGGCGCGATGCCAGCGGGACCGCCTTCGCCACGGCAGCCGCTTTGATAAATAATTCAACAATATCGACTCGCTGCAGGCATCTCGCGAAGCCCACCGCGAGCAGAAAACACGTGTTTCTCGCAATGAAAGCAGGGACAACGGCGGCGTGGCCAAGCCTGGTGCTGAAGTGGGCGACGTGCCTCGTCCTGAGGCTGCGGGATCAGGTTCGGCGCCATCTCCTGCCGCAGAGATTGGAGCTGCTGACCCCGACGTGGCGGTGCCACTTGCGGCAGGCGAGGCCATGCTTTCTCGCGTGCGCGCGCAGGCAGCCAAGGTGGCAGGTGAGCAGCCGACCCACGCCGCAGGCACCGCGTGAGTCGTTTTCCTGCGAGGGGGATCGGCGTCATCTGAATGACCGCAGTTTTTCCATCGGGCAGAGCTACCGCCCCGGGCCATCCTGAATCCCTTGCCGCCGGCCCCGACGTTGAAGCTATATCGTTCAAGGTCCAGGCGTGCAGCGGAAAACTTGGTCTGCGATGAAGGAGTGCTTGGGTTCTTGTGAGGCTCGCACTGCTCGTGCAGGAGCGCAGTATGGTCGTCCGAGGAGGCTCTCCTTAGGGTTTCGGGGTGGTGGATGAGGCACGGTTGGCGTTCCTTGTGGTCCCAGGGCTGCTTGGGCCCAGGGAGGGCCCCTCATCGGGTGTGGGGATCCTGGTGAGGTTTTGAATGGGCCTCCACGAGCCTGAGCGCGACGTCGGCACCTCGGGGCCTCGTGCGTTGACCGCGGTTGCTCACCCTCCTGGCGGCCAGCTCTACGTACTTCTTGGGAGCTGCCTACTTGCGCGATTGTGAGGGGCTCTCCGAGAGGAACCATGACGACATGGTACCGTGGAATCCAAGCTCGCAGTTTCTGGCGTGCCGCTTGTTTTAGGACGCGATTTCAACGTGGAGCCGACGGAGCTTTTGGATTCCAGCTTCCCGCACCTCTTGAGGGCCCTGGTGATTTCCGCTTCGGACTGCGCGTGCGCCTCTTCCATTTCGGCGCCCAAAACAATCGTTTTCTTCGTGCTGTCTGCTGGCTTGCCCAAGGCAGTGAGCTCAATCTGCCTTGTTTCGCCGCCCCGTTCGATCCGCATCGTCCCGTGGATCTGTCATCTTCAGGCTGCCGCCTCTGCCGCCGACCCCCGAGAAGCTCGAGGACAGGCAAGCTGTCCATTCAGTGGTGGCGGTGATGACGACGACGATGAAGTCTGCGACGGCGGCGGTAGCGGCGATGACCACGGCGTCGACGCAAACCTTTTGCGCCGCCTGTGATGGCGGCGATGGCGGCTCTCGAGGTGGCCCAGGAATGGCGGTTGCCACGCGGCGGTCGACATCTCGCTGCCCGATTGGGCTTCGAGGAGTTGCGGCCGCATCGGCGACCCCTGGTTTCTGTCGCGCTCCCTCCATGTCCTCCGCGCCCTCGTCCTTGTCTCCGTCTTTGCTCTCTTGCAGGCGTGGGCTCGGGGCCGCTGGTCTCTCCAGGGGCATTCCCCCCCGTCCTCTCCATCCCGTGCCGCTTTCCTTTTTCCTTCTTTTCTTGCTTTTCCATTTGCTGTATCTTTTCTTTGTGCTCCTTCTACATCTCGTGCTCCTGCCCCGCGTCCTTCTCCTCTTCCGCTGCGCCGGGGCAGTGGCGCCCCAGCCGCGTGCTGCCGCGCAGCTGTCGGCAGGGCCGTGGCCGCCGCGTCGGGGGGGGGTGCGTGGGGCATGAATGGGTTTTGGAGACCTGCTAATTCTCCAACGCGGCCAGAGAGGTCGCCGGGGCGGCCCCCGCTGACGGCCCCCTGGGGGGCAGTCTTTCTTTGGCCTTTGCCGGGGGCCCGGGCGCTGGGCCAGCGCTTCCGGGGGCTCCGGAATGGGGGGGGGGCGGGGCGGGGGGGGGGGGGGCGGAGGGGGCAGGGGGGCAGGAGGAGCAGGAGTCAACAGTCAGCTCGCGCGCTTGTGTCTGACCTGAAGGGGGACCCCGCGAAAGTGGAGTGCGGACTTGGGGGGCGAGGGGTGGGCAGCGGGCGCGAGGGGCGGGGCGGGGGTGAGGATGCGGCGGGGAGGGGGGGGGGGGGAAGGGGCTGGCGGAGCAGGAGGGGGCAGTCAGCTCGCGCGCCCGTGTCTGACCTGAACAGGGGGACCCCGCGAAAGTGGGGCGCGGCCTGGTGGGCGAGGAAGAGGTGGGGGTGGGGGGGTGGGGCGGGGGGGCGTGGGGGAGGAGGGGGTGGGGGTGGGGGTGGTGGGGGGGGGCATGGGGGGCTGGAGGGGCAGGAGTGGCAGTCAGCTCGCGCGCCCGTGTCTGACCTGACGAGGGAGACCCCGCGAAAGCGGGATGCGGACTTGGTGGGCGCGGAGGAGGAGGATGGGGGGGGGAGACTGGGGCGGGGGGGATGGGGGGTGGAGGTGGAGGAGATGGGGGCGGAGGAAGGGGGGGGTGGAGCAGGAGGAGCAGGGGGGGCAGGAGGGAAAAGTCAGCTCGCGCGCCAGCGTCTGACCTGATGGGGGGGGCCCCGCGAACGTGGGATGCGGACATGGTGGGGGGAGAGGAGTAGGGGGGAGGAAGAGTGGTGGTGGTGGTGGTGGTGGCGGTGGCGGTGGTGGTGGTGGTGGTGGCGGGGGGGCATGTTTGTGCCGGCGCGCGTGCTATGTTTCTATAGAAACGCAGGAGTCGACGGGCGCGCTCCATGCGCGCGGTCAGGTTTCCGCGCAGTGCTTGCACCGGCGCGCGCCGCTGGACCGGACATTCGAATTCGCGCGGCAAAATGCGAATGGTTGGGGGCGGACATTTGTGGAAGAGTCGTTAAAATACAAGCGGCGGGTTTGCCGACGGGAGTGCTCGGCGCGCGTCGGCCCGAAGAGCGCCCATGATAACTTGGCCGAAGCAGAGGCGGCGTGGCCGGGGTGCAAGAATAATGAAGTTGGGTCGGTGTGCCGCCCGACGTATTAGACGCGCAGGTCGGAGCAGGGCGCGACGCACCTGGGAGAAGAGGGGGGGGCGCGCGCGTGGGAGATGGCGTGCCTCGACCAAGATGCGCAGTGCCTCCAGGAGCGGAAACATAACCACGTGCGTCTGTTGAAGGCAGAGACGGGAGAGCGGGCGCCTTTGCCGGCGTGTCGTCGGAAGGACAGCCCGAAGCTCTGCAAAGCCGATTTCCCGCGAACCTCGCAGCTCATCGATCGCGTAGCGGCGATTTGCCCAGGGCTGGCTTCGCGGCTGGATATGCCGAAAGCAGGCGGGCGGAACCGCGTCGGCAGCTTGCGTGGGCCCATGAACCACGAGAGTCTGAATGGGATACATCCGGGCATGCTTGCTGCGCAGCGTTTCAACTCGGACGCGCAGCTGCCGCGCCGGCTGCCGATCACCAGCGAGAGCTGCATCTGCGGGAAGGCGTGGGCGGAGAAGCAGAACGGCGACGCGATCATCAAGGTGGTCCAGATGTCTCAGGACGCGCAAGCAGGGTACGCATGCGAGTACTGTGCGAAGAGACAGCCCATGGCATTCCACGAGGTCCGCGAGTGCGCCAGAGGGGTTGAGAAGCTGAGCCGGCAGTTGCACGGGGAGAACACGAACCGCGTCGGGGAGCGGCTGGCGACGCGAATCATGAGCGACGCCTGCGGGAAGGGCATCGCTCGCGGCCAGGTGGGCTCTGCGAATTTGCGAGCGTATGCAATGGGGAACAATGCGACGTCGGCGGAGGCGATCGAGATATATGAAACGGCGTGCTTTCTTGGGCGCGAGTGTGTGGAAACGGTCGAGCGGTTGTCGGACGGCGCAGCGTGCGGGCGCAGAGCGCAGTTCGCGGAGGTGGACGTGCGGAACCCAAGACGTCGGAAAGTGACCATCAGAGACGTGGCCATGTTGTACGGGCTTCGCCCGGAGCGAGACGACGTGTGGCACCTGTCACCGTGCGAGTTTACAACGTACTGGAGACCCGTGCCCGTTGCTCACCCCGCCAGCTTCAAGGGCGCGAGAGCCATCCGGGACAGGCATCATACATTCTGACTACGGCAGCGATGGAGGAAGCGCAATATGCAGGCCAGGCGGAAGATCTGGAACCTGGGGTTGACTACGTGGTGAAGGGCGACGCAGGGGGGGATTGGGTGGCCTTTCCAGACAACGATGATTGCCGGCATCTGCGACACACGTGGGTTCTCGTCAGGATCAAGAGGCCCTTGGCGCCGACATTTTTTGGGCGCACGTGCTGCGCGGCCGAAGTGGGGAGGTCGAGCGGTCCGCGCGGATTTTAATGTCGTACTTCCACCCGTGGGCGCTACGGCAGACAGAGGCAGACGGTCACGTGGTGTTTGCCGGCGCGCTGCGTGGGGACTCGAAGACTTGGGAGGCCGCCCTGGTTCCGTGGTTGGTCGGCGGAGTACAAGCGGAAGAATCTGCGCGGTATGTGGGTCGTTTCTTGAGCGTGTATCGCGTGCGTCCAAGGGGTGCAGACCATGGGGCCGGACGCAGCGACAAGGGCGTGAGCGACGAAGAACTGGAGCTGGGCTTTGACCAGCTGAGCGAGGTTCTGAAATCTCGCGTCGGTGGTCGCAAGCGGGAAGACGGCGACGGGGATGGCAGTGGTGGGGGAGAGGGCGGTCGGGCGAAGGGTGGTCTGGGTGGAGCTCGAAAGCAGGCATGGCCTTGGCCCAGGAAGTGTGGGGCCAGCGCCCGGGCGAAAAATCGCTCGGCGAGGCGCGCGCCGCGTGGCCGACAGCCCTCAGCTGCGATCTGGAAGCTGCGCTGGCCGCAGCGAGGGCATCGCGGAACAAGGAGAAATCCATGGCCGACAGAGTGGCGGCGGAAGAAGATAGTGGGAAGGTGGAGGCGCGGGCAGGGGCGACATCGGGCCAGGTGGCAGAGTGGCTCGGGAATTTGGAATTCAGGATTGACATGGATGCAGGCTGGCGCGTTGTCAACGCGAAGCAGTGCGAAATGGTGAAGCAGGTAGCAGAGAGGCAATGCAAAAGCTGGACGGGGACGCGCGGGGGGCGCGGATATTGGTGAACCGTTGCGTTGGTGCATGCATGGAGGACCCGGCGCAGGGGAGTCACGCGTGCTGCGTATTCTGCGGGAGGAGTTTTCCGAGGACTTGTTGAAATGGGCGATTGGCGTGCATTTTCGCATCGCGGCCTTTCAGGCAGTCGTGGCGCAGCTGCTCGGCGGGGGCACCATGCGCCACGCCTGCGGCATTCCCGCCGTCGAGCGCGGCGACGAGGAGGGGGGGTATGTGAAACTTAAGTGCGATGCAGCGAAGCAAGTGCTGCAGTGGAGGTGGTTTTTCATCGACAAAATCAGCATGGTGAGCGCCCGACTGCTCGCGGAGGTGGACCTGGAGGTTCGCGGCGTTATTCGGGGCGCTGGCGCCCAGAATTGCGGGGGGGGCGGAGCGCCGTTTTCCTTCGGCGGTTTGAACGTCGTGCTGAGCGGAGATTCCTGGCAGCTGGCGCCTCCAGACAGAGGGCTTCTTGCC